TCCGGACAACTCACACGTGAGGCTGGAACGGGATCCTTTAGAGTTTTTGGCAAATATAGGTTCCTTACTTAACGCAGCTCCCCGGTATGCATTCCCGTGATTTGTTTTCAATGCAGCTTTAGTGTAACATTTCCTACTGACTCTAAGGGCCCGTAAAATTGGGCTTCCTATTAGAATCCTTAAAAGCGAGTTTCAATCTGCTATGCAGTTTCATCTTGCGAGTCGGCCTTTCCTTTTTACAGAGGTTCCCATTTGTCGTCGAGAAGTGTTATCACTTCTTTGAATACATTGCAGTAGAATAAAGGGAAATTCCCAATCTTTTATTCCGCTAATAAGGATCGGGCCTCGAGGCCTTGTTCTGTAACATCAAAAATATGCTTTTCAGAATCGTATGGAGGTTTGCAAAAGCAAGAAAGAGTGGGCTTGTAACATGGAAGGCTAAAAGTGAATTAGTAAATCAATATATGGAGCGGTTCGTATCTCCTTTTTTCGACGCGCGATATCTTGTGAATCCGAAAATCATCGAAATGGCTGTCACAGATGTTCATCAATTGGCAAAGGTACTGATTTGATTTCTTTTGGTTCCTTGGCTGTTTTCATAATTCAGTGCTTTATAAGGTTGTTCTAACACATACTTTTCCTTTCTCTTCCTGTCAAGTGTCGTGTCATGGTTTTGAGTTCTCGAAGAACATCACTTTGAAATGTGCTAGACGCAGTACCCGTAGGTCTGTCAATCATTGGTGATGCCTTGCTTTCCAGTTCGCAGCTACTGCAACGAAAATTGCAGTCCGTGAACTCATAATTTACTCGTGAGCAGATAATTTACCAGTGTGAGAATGAGATGATGTCATTGGTGTGAGAATGAGATGATGTCATTGATATGTGGAAAATGCGGTGCCAATACGGCCTTATGGTCTCCCTTCGAAACAAGGGGCTTGAAAGGGCCATTTTAGCTCGAGCTCCTATAAAGTTCTTGCACTGATACAACCATTGATACTGGCATAGTCGCGGTGCGGTGTACGAACTCCCAAACCGCCAAGGCAGATCGTACAGTACCGTAACGCGCGAGTTTTCGGGATTAATTAACAGAAAATCGCAGATGTACTCTTTAACTTCCTGCTTTGTTGAGCGCTAAAAGGGAAGAGAGACCTGCGAAGCATTGACTACATCGACAGATTTCGATCGTATCCCAGTTCGAGAAACACTTTCGACGGGGAGTTGATGCAAATTTAGAAATAAGTCTCAGATTTCGTGAGTCGTACGGCCATAACTTTCTTCGCAAGCAATCACTTGCAAAGCCATGAGCAAATCTGAGTAGTATAGGAATCTTTCTTCAAAAGAAAACATATTTTTTAGCTTTCTCGAGGACTGCTAGCCACTTTTTTAAGATATATTTAGATTGAGACAATTCTAAAACACTCGAAAATTCGATTTCTCATCGACCATTGCGGAAGTCTCCATTCAAAAACTTTGTATAATTTCGAGGCATTTCTTCGTAGAAAAGAGTAAGCGAATAGTTCTGTCACCTGATTGGTATAAGCTGAGGATGTGCATGCATTTTGAATATTTCCCGCGATGCTCCAGTCTTTTCGAAGGGTTTTTCTCTTCGACAAAATGGCTGATAATGAGTCACTACATAATCATAGTCATTGTAGCCTTGAAAACTCATATAGTGGATACATGAGTCGCACTAGCATTGTCCCTCTCCCAATATTGGCATTGTCTCTGCGAGTACATGCTTGGAAATAAGCATGCCTCCGAAGACTCTTGAAGCGTCGCGTTTCCTTATCAGCTTCACTGTAATATTTCGTTTAAATTGACAATACTGAACAGTGAGGGAGCGCCCCATCTGAGGCGTTCACGCTCGACTGCTTCTAGACTTCCGAAGAGTGCATTCTACACACAGTATCTGAGTCAGTTCATTTTCGGTTTTGAAGTAGTGTTCAGCTACCTTTTAGTACCTTTTAACATCTCTTCCCTTACCCTCAATCGCGGAAAATATCATGGCGTTGTTCTTTAGTGTTAAGATCCTGTACGTGACATCTTCACCCTCACTCTCTCAATGTGAATTCCTTAACCGTGATATTTACTAGTGCCAGTAGCAGTTTTTCAGTTCACAGTATTTTGGTCAGAATGAAGAGTGCTATCCTTTAGCAGAACTGACTAACTGTTTTTATGGTTCATTTGTTATTTTACCTTGAAACTTAGTGTTTCAGCAGTTCCCTCGCTTCCTGCCAACTTCAAGCTTGAAAAGTTTGATGAATTGTTAGCTATTCCTGATGACCTGTCGTTCTTCCCGTTAGCCAACGTGCCAAGGAACGTAATCAGACTTTCTGCTTTGGAAATGTTGGATGCAACAAGGATTCCAAAGCACCTTATTTCCTACATCGGACCAACAATTACGGTAAGTACGCCTATCATACAGCTCATTGCCTGCAAATGGCATGCAATGAAGAATAGCTTTTATTATGGAGAAATCGCATATAATACTAGCTAGCTACTAGATCTTGTAGTGCTGAGTGGTTTGTCGGAAAAAAACCATTCGGCAGTTCATGTAATCGCTTGGCAAACCGATGTCGAGAGTATTACTTCAGTGAATTTCGAGGGAAATATACAAAGTTCTCTTTGAAAGTATAGGTTGGCAAGAAAGTCCTGTCAGTGTTCTGGTTTTCTCCTTTGTGGTATGTAATGGAAATCAGCCGAAAACCCGCTTTTATGCTTTTCGACTGAACGCATTCGACGATTTGGGGAAACTCCTCGTCTGACGGAATTTTCTTGCCGTGATATGTGCTTGTTATCGAACTGCATATATGCAATTTTCTTTCCAGGTTGAAATCAAACCTAAACAAGGATTCTTTCAAAATCATGCTTCAATCGACCTTCCTTTCTGCAACAATTGTATTCTGCAGGTAATCTTTCGCTCTATTTACCCATTTTTTTTTAAATACTTTTTGAGTTTATGGAACGTGAAAGAGAAGAGATTACTCATGTGTAATGTTTTCAAAAACGTTGGCCTATGCTTCGGTGTCCAGAAAGATCTGTCATCTCTTTTTTTTCCTATTCGAATGATTTCTTTTTGTTTTCAGCTCGAGAAGTGCGGCTCAGACCACTACGAAGAGATGTATGATTTCTGTCCCATTGACCTTTTCTCCGGGAACTTAGCTAGGATGAAGTCTGCTCTTGAGGCACTGTTAAAGGTGCCGCACAGAAATCTTCGCCTGTTCATCGACGGCAACTTGGTACTACCTTACATAGTTTATTCCAAGTTATTTTCCTCACAGCGAAAAGTGGACCTGTATGTTTAGATTCACTCTGATGAATCTCTTCTTGACGCTGCTCTTTTCTCAACGACATTGTTCCCAAGCGGACAAGGAAACGCGGATGACTTGATAACGGCGGTACGGCTTTACTACTTTCAACAACTTTCGAATTTGCTGAAAAAATAGTGAATGGAAAACAGTAAATGATTATTAACAGGATGTCGTTTAGCTTTGCCTAGTGCTAGCGGGATGCGAGGACGTTCGCGACTTTTCCATACGGGAACATTCTGTGCTTGGACAAATTTTGGCTGCGCAAAAGATCGATTCGGTGGGAATAGTGAAGGCTCATCAAATCTACAAAAGTCTTCCAGCTGCGGTGCAAGTAAGTATTCTATAAATTGTAGTTGTCTTATTTCTTTGATGCTTCAATCTTTTGTCAGAAAGAGCTGCATGACAAAAGTCGACTTCCTGTGAGAGGTTTGGAAGTATTAGAAGCGACCGACGATCGAGCTCTCCTAGAACAGTATCTCCTGGCTGCCACAATGAAGGACTGTTCAGTGGGTTTTCATAATCGTTAACCATCCTTTTCCAAAACCAAGAAAGTAACTACTAAAATATCGTTTGTATGGCTTGCATGGCTCGGGCCATCAGCAATCGACATGCTCCGGAGTAAGAGGGGGGGGGGAGTGGGTATCGTTAAGGAACTGATTTCGATGATATCATATGCAGCGGGCACTTTAATGATTGCTCAAGCGGTAGATTTTTTTGTTGACAGGTATGAGTTTAGCGGTTATCGAGCGTTGGAAATTTTTCTCACACTGACGCCAAATGGGTAGGCTTGCTTAAAGGCAGTTGGCACGATAATCCCCCCTCCCCTCCCCAAGGCGACCAGGATCAATACTCCTGGCAGGATAGAATTCCGCGACCCTGGGCAGGCGCTGCATAGCGGTTTCCCCGGGGAAGGTACTTTCAGCCGTACCTTCGGTAGCGGTTATTGGCAAGATGCCTACGGGAAACTCGTCCAAAATTGATTTTCAAGTCACTGAGAACGGAGGCTTTTTCTTCGCAGGATTTTGACCGTTTCACTCCGTTCTTTCGCCATAGCCCTACTAGCATTTTAGGCTAAGTAGGAAACCATCGTGCCAACTGCCTTTAATGAGTGAAGAGCAATTATTGAGCGGGCGGAAAAAATTGGGAACTGAGGAAGTGATCAGGGCGCATGCTGGAATCTTACCGCATTTTACAAGCAGTGCTTTAGCGTGTTTAGGTGGATGTGGATTTTTGTGCAAAACGGCGCTCACAGGGCCGTGCTGCTTTTGGTGAAATTTATTCCAAAGTCGCAACACTGAAAAATAATGAAGCTTCTCATGGGTTTCTTTACGTATCTTCTTCACGAGTTTTGAAGAATTATTCTTGTATACTTCATGTAGTAATGGCGGAGATGGGGTGGTGGCAAGTGGCACGCATGCCACGCGCGCGGTCTGGAGGTCAAATCCTGGATCGACTATTGCCCAGGGCAACTAGCCTTCTGACTTCCGAGAACGATAAACTGGGATCCAGGCTCGTCTGGGAGGGCAAAACGCTGTATTGTATATCCGCTGGCCCCGCGGTCATTGCATAGGCACATCGCTTTCAACAAGACACTACTACTTTGAACTAAAGTGGAATGCGTGCCGCATCCCAAAAAGAAATTGTTCCACGGCGAAGGCTTTATCCTCTCTTATCCTATAATTATGGAGTTCCTATTGTTGGTATTATAATGTGCACTTGCCTACTTCATTGCGTTGTTTCCGTTGAAGCAGCGTTCAAACTTTGCGATGATGCGCGTCGACGCGCCGTTACACGCTGTCACTGCCACTGCGCTCAAGTGGTATGGACGCGAAAGCAGCCGCTGACGATTATCGATCGGCGTCGCCCTAAAAACCAATGCCGACATCAGACTGCGTGATTAGGCAACATGCACCCTCCAGTTCCCCATACTGTCTTAATACTCTAAACACATAAGCGGCACCAAGCGATCCCCGTCTACAATCCGTGGCCGCGTTCGCATCTATACCACTGGAGCGCTGTTGCAATTGTAGCGCGTCGCAGCGCGTCGGTACGCGTCTTTGCGAAGTCTGAACACTGACTTTTTCACTTTTGAATTAATGACTTCGTGTTTTTAGGTAATGGCTTCTTTCCGATTGGTGCCTTCTGGAACATATCATACTCCATCAAGCGTGGATGATGCCCAAATGATCAAGCTTGCTAACGGTTAGTATTCAGTCATCTATGTTAACTATTGTTACATTATCAGCCCTCTTTTCCAGGATTATGTTTTGCGTACTCTGTGAAGATAGTGGATTTGGATCCAAAGACCCCTAAAAACTTGGTCAGTGCCTTCGCAAGGTTCATGGCTGGTGTTAAGTTGATACGACTCGAATCTGTGACAAGAACCCCCTGTGTTGAATCCATGTGATAAGTCATTACGGTGTCGGTGTTTATCTCAAGCAGTGCTGATATTATTGGGTCCAAAAGCATGTTCTTCTATTGCTCAGCACTTTTGTTTCTTTCATTTTGGGACGCCTGAGGTCCAGTTACTGGACACGATGGTGCTGTCTAGCAACTTTCGGTCTAAGTCGAGCAACGCCTTCCTTACCATTTCTAATTCTTGCTTTTGCGTGTTAATTATAACGATGATTTGTAATCTTTTTGTGAATATTACTGGAATCTCATCATCAAATGACAAGTCTTGTCTCACAATTTCAGTATTCACTTTTTGAATTTTAACGCACTTACTGCTTGTTTCGTTCATTCCGATATTGCTGTTGTTATTCGCTGGTGACACATGAATGCCACGCCCATCAAGATGAGTCGAATTAATCAAGGGTGAAACTACTGCTATTCGTTAGAATCATTCCAGCTTTTGCGACTGGCTTAGAGAAAGAATGTCCGTTCAAGTTATCATGACGGACGAGGTTTGAAATATCCTGTTAATTCGATCCGCTTATGTAAAGTTGGCTTCTGTGATGTATCACTTCTGTTTCTCGATCACTTCCTGTACTCTGTTGTTTTCCTGATGCTTGTTGAATGTGTTTCAAATATATAGATACTAATAATATAAATATGTTCTTAATCTCAATGGGTCAACTTAAGTGGTTCAGCGCCGTATAACGTATTTCTCCTACAGCCTAGACGATAGGGGGCGAAGTGAGGAAATTCAATGCTGCGTTACAGTCTTGATCGTTGCGGATGATGGAGCCATTAGTGAGGATGAGTTTGCCGCGCACAGCCCCTTTCTCATCGGTTGTTAAAGGCTATGGGCACGATTACTGGAGGCGGGCGGCGTCACTGGTGGAGGGACTGCGCTGAGGGGGGGGGGGAGGGGAGGAGGCGTCTGCCCACACCCCACTCAGTCCCTTCCACCAAAAACTTCGGCGACAGTCACCCGCCCCCAGCCATTATGTCCACGGCCCCTTAAAGCTGGTAAGCGACGACCACTGGTGGAAAGCGACTGACATGAACAATACAAAACAGTCTTGTCGCTTACCTAAAGAAAAAAAGGGGCTGGAGCCACGCCAAACCCATACTCCTTGGTACGCCCCATCTAAGCAAACAAGGACTGTCTATTTTTACAAGGAATTCGCTACTTTCACACAATATCCAAGTTTTACAAAATGGGATGGTACCCTGTTATGGTATGTTCGGAAAGTGTAACGCTCGCCGCTAGAATATTTGTGGGGGAAGCGACCAACCGGGATTCGAACCTGCGCATCTTGCTTACCAGGCTATTGTGTTAACCGCACCACCAAAATGGCAAAATTGCAAAGAAATGGCAAGTGCAAATGTCAAGTGCGCAGTTCTAGGAAGTGGGAATCCATGTTGCTGGTTATCGTGGTGAGAGAAAGGTCAATAATTACCCCTTGTTCCTGGAAATGCGAGTACATGATTCGTGCTAGAGTGGCTCGCTACGCAACAGTATGAGCGCTCGTACTGACACATCGGCCGACGCGTGGGCGTGTTTTGGCGCACGCCTTCCTTGCACCATCTTAGGCCATAGTCGCAGAGCTGAAAAGGGTCGGGCCACTGCATAGCATTCTGATGATTAATGGAATGGTGCCACCGTGAAGAAGAGGGGTTATGGGGCGAGATTGGCTAATATACGGATGTGGCGTGTCTTGGGACTGATGTTGTTGGTTCATGCAACGAGAAGTTGCTGTTCGATGGGTAGCAGCGACAGCCGTTCGTCCTGCCGTGCAAAAAGATCGTGTGTAATCGCAACGGAATATGTGCGTTGACCGTTGCGTCCTCGGTTGAGTAGTGATTCTGAAAACCAACTTCAAGCGTTTAAGAAACATTGACCAATCTTAATTTGCAGTGGAAAAACTATTGTCGACAGTACTGTTGTATGACGTATTTTTGAGCGTACAATGAGCACGCACAAATGAATAACATGATTATGTTATGAGCCGCGTCACCGTTCGAGAATCTTTGGTTGAAGTAAATAACTCTGTGTAACAGTAGAGCTATCTCAGTTTGTTTCTTTGAGAGTCTTTAGAGTCAGCCCGGAGTCATTCATTGATTGTAGATATTGGCAAATTGTGTGGTTCGCAGTAAGCTTCCTCAGCCACTCACAAAATCATTTATAGCATGGTTCGCTGCGGACGAAGGGGCGTGTCAGGCGGGATGAGTTTGGAGCGGTGCCAAAACCGTTCCCCACAGGTTGTTGAAGCGAGCAAATGACAAGACTGAATCATACTTTCGTATCATTCGTTTTTTATCAGTTGCTGTCGCATACGCGCTTCAACAACTGGCACAGAAAGGTTTAGCCCCGTGAAAAACTCATACTGCCCGACAGGGTGAGTTCATACCTCGCGTCAGCGTTTTGGAGCATACCTACTAGGAAAGTATAGGAGTCTGTCTAGCAGTTTCGAGCGGTTTTTTAAGTCAGCGTTCGCGCGGATCAACCATCTGTGAAAACTGCTGCATTGAAAACGAACGCGGAGTCCGCAACCGTAGCGAAGATCCGACTCTCGCGGCTCGAAATCGATTGGTTGACGAGGGCGGAGTCAACAACGCTGAGCTGACGCCTCCTTTCCTGTTAATCCCGCCCGATTGGTTAACAGTTGTCAGTGCTTGCTGTATGTCGGATATACGCTGAATTTTCTTAGCAGTTCTCGAGGCCTGGCGACGTTGTATTGGAGAATCACCAGAAGTTTGCGAATACTCGTCCACATCTAAATTTTATAGCTTCTTTTTCACGTCTTCCACACTTTTTACTGCTATTTTTTGATTAGTTGCTTATTGGCCACACTTTCTTAGAATGTGACCCTAAACCATGCAAAGTCCATCGCGGCGAGCTGTCTTTAACGTTTTGGCTGTCTACCAGCGTCTGAGCGACTTATGAAAACGATAGCGGTATCGATTAAACCGAAAACTGCCAATGTGACAGAGCGCTCGGAACGCTGAGGGCGCTAGTGACTCTCCAAAAGCTGCGTGAGACGCTCAAAACGTCTAAACGATTTTTAATGGGGGTATTTTGATCCATGAAGCCAAAGACATTGCCCTGCACAGCCCAAGCCAGGGGATGTAACGAGTTTTTACCCTTCCTCTATGGGAAGTAAGAGGGACCAAATCGCATGGAGACTAAAGTCGGCGTTACTGTTGGCACGGCCTTGCTGGGAATGAATCGCCTGTATGATGGTAGCATTGTGTTTTGTCAGGAGGTTGAGCTATCGATTGTGATTGAGTGTGAGTGTAAGGTCTGCATAACGCGTAGGTGAGATAAAAGTCACAACATCACCATATAAATAAGTTCCAATATGAGCATCTATCTATGTATGTAGTGTACAAGACTGAAACTGGTTGCCAGTAACAGTAACGGATAACCTACTCAGCGATCAGTCTCGAGGTATTATAGCTAGACCCACTAAACCTTAATGGTTTACTGGGAAATACGGTGTCTGAATTGAGCATGTGACAAAGTGGTGGGTAGGTTTTCTGTTACCTTCAAATACTCGCTGCCAGCCCTGAAGGTCAAACTTTCTGCACATAAATTGATTGTCGATTGAACTGTGGAGTTTGCACTGCCACTTGCTCGCATTAGTGAAGCACACCGAAACGCCGATGACTTTGTGACAACATGTGTTCGTTCAGTTGTTTTTTGCGTATATGCACTTCGATGATCAGTTTTCAAGGACTTGTATTGTTTTCTTTTGCTATCATCAGCAAGACGTGGAGGCTGCGCTTGGGGCCAAAAAATGAGCGAGTGGCCTGCCTGCCGCTTAACCAGCACGCTGTCCCGAGGTTAGGTCTCAGATGGGCTCAAGCTCTAGCCGCCCTCATCTTCTATCCTCTGAGGAAGGGTCAAGCATCACGTTGCGGAAAATCGAGGGGTTGGTACGACCCGATCCCTCTCAAGGGGGTGTACGTACGACCTCCCACTAAAGGGGTATCCGTACGATCTTTCGCCCCCCCCCCACAACAGCGCGTTCAGACTTCGCGATCGTGCGATCGGATCGCGACTAGGATCGCGACTATGATCGCGCGATCAGTCTGAACGCGCTCTAAGAAACTGTGGGGTGTATGGAGGTATCCGCTGTGTTCATCGGGATTTAGCTGTATAAGCTGTGCGAATTCGAATTTTGGCGAATGAGTACCTAAGAACATCTACCAAACCAATCGTAGTATAATGCACATTTTAAAACTCCGAAAAAACCCCATGCTGTGTCGCGAATGGAGATTGGAGCGCTATCGGTCCATTGCATTCACATTTTTTTTCGAAGCGGTATGAATTCATTCGGAAGCCGTCCATCGCAGAGCAGGGAACGATTCATGTTGTGTGGGCAGGGATCTAAGGCCGGATCGAATACGCGAATACTGCCCACACAACACCGAAATACCTTTACAGCTTTTAACAAGCTTCCATGACGGTTCTGGCCGAAATAACGCGAAGAATTTTGGGCAAAAGCGAGTTGTTTTTTTTTTACTTTTCAAAGGCCATGACTTAATTCAGACGTAGCATATGACGGATAATTACAGGCGTTGGAGACTAGAAGGCTTTATCTTTCTAATGAGCGCAAATTCTTGCCGTAGCTTGACTACGGCGAAAACTCGCCTTTCGTGGATTTCTCGCTGAAAGTCAGCTACAGCATTAGGATCCCCTCTCCACTGCCCCCCCCCCCCGCAAAGCCCACATTTCCATCTAGAAAGCTCGAGGCCTCTCGTACACCCATCTTTTCGTCTAATGAATAGAAACTGCAGCACAGTTGCACTGAAACAACATCTCATGGACTGTGGTTCATTCCCACCCATGCTGCGAGCTACCGTGTTGAGTACTGATCTTTGCGAATAAGACCCTCCTCCCGAAGGGGCCAAATACTACTCTTCGCGGATCCTGAGGTGTATGCTTGACCCTGCTCCAAGGATAGTAAATTGGTACTGGATCCGTGTGGGAAGGATAAGAGTTTGAGTTGTACA